TTGCATTGCCCTTTGGTCATCTTGACCAAATGATCGAACAAAAACAAGCATTAATGTCAGGAGATAGTTGATAAATAGTCTCAGAATGTGAGTGGTAGAAGCTCCATTTTAACATATTCAAAAAATAAAGGATTTAGTCTGGAGGATAACCCTACACTGGTAAGAAGATAGATGATTTACATTCCCCACCCACATTTTTATTTTATGTGGTACTGTGAGTCTCTTGAGCAATCTAAATAAACAGAAAATTACATACATGAAATTTTTAAAAGGTAAATAGTGTTTAAAATTAATATAAGAGAACTTGCTGAATGAGATATTAGATACTCTGCTCTGAACAATGGCTACCTAAGATGAACTGGTCTGGTGATAAACATTAGCTGAGATTAAGCAAATGGATTATGTTTTTTTCTAGCTGAGTGCACTTGGAATACAACTAAGGATGCTCATTTCATACGACATAGACAATCACATGTACAATTTATAAATTTGAAAACAAGCTAACTACTCTTTTATATACACAGGATGTGACTGTGGGTGAGTATGATGAAATTATATGCAGTATTTACGAACTATATGGTATTAGACACAATCTTATATATTTAGAATGAAACATTCCGCTTAGTGTCTTTATAAAATTGACTGAATTTGTGCATGAACTTTGAATGAATGGTTTTGCTTATGAGGGTACAGGCAAAGGGATTCAATTCTGAATTTTGTTTGATTTTCTTGAAAATATTAATTATATTGTAAGTGCCAAATTATCTTAATAGACATTCTGTATCACGTAATATAAGCTATTTCCTCATTGTAGAGTAAAATCATTGAAGTATAAAAATTGATACTATTTTAGATAAAATGAAACTATTACAGTGCAATGACCTGTAGTATCAAGTAGTAACTTCTACAATATGTTGATTATTCGTTTGTTGAAATGTTTTCTATTTGTAAGATGCAATCAGAAGATACATGAAAGATGCAATTTCCACTATTAAAATCAATCCTAGAAAATATTCACACATGGTGTTCTATCAAACTCTCAGTTCTCTTCCAAAACTATCTGGCTTATTGTTAATTTTATGTTTTGCTAAGAAAAACTTCTTTATCTTAGTTCCTTTTGTGAATTCAAATGATTTCACATTTATAATGAAAATTGTCTTTTTGTTTGCATGTGTATTCTCTCTTTGTTTTGGATTTTGTTACTTCCACACTGTCAAGACACAATGTAATAATTATCTTTATGTAAAATGCATTGTGTTTTATTTAAATCCATTATTATCAGTATTTTTGTGAGAAAATCCATCTTGTGAATACCTCTTGTGAATAATCATATGGGTAGATGAAATTCCACTTCATTTTCATAAAGGGTGATAAGCTGTAGTACAGAAAAACTGAGGAGCTATGTCTGTTCGTTTCTGTTTCTGGCCATGATGATGACTTAACAGATTACTCCCCTTTCCCAGAGATCCTGGACTGGACTCTCTTAGTGAGCTGAAGTCATCTTGGCAGTTAAATGCAGGAGCCCAACATTCAGTTCACTCATCAACTTTACTACTATCATGGCTACTTTTATTGGCATAGAATATTTCCTCTGCAAATCAAGTCTAAAATTTTGTGTTGCAGCTAGCAATAAAAATGCTCTTATGGGTTTCCTCTAGGAATAAGACACTGTAAGAAGTTGCCCAGAGAAGTTGTGGATGCCCCATCCCTGGAAGTGCTCAAGGCCAGGCTGGATCAGGCTTTGAGCAGCCTGGTCTAGTGGAAGGTGTCCCTGCCCATGATTCTATGATATAGAATCATATCTATTCATAAACTTATAGTCTATGAATATCAGTATAAACAGAATGATGCATGAAACATAAAATGGCTGATTCAAATTGTGTTCTCAGTCTTAACGCACCTGTCAACCTCTCAGTTTAGAAAAGTAATGAAAATTTAGGCAAGTAATGAATGCATGTGTCAAAAGAGATGATGAAATGCAGCTTTCACTGATTTCAGTTGAAGTACAGCTCCTCCTTAACAAAGCCAATTCATTAGCCATCATGGACGGGGTTATATAAGTTATTGCAGCCAAGCCTGAAAATGTTTTCCTGCAATTCTTTAATTAAATATGTACAGATTTTCAATTTATTTGTATTTTTATTTATTTAATGAAATTGTGATTACATAAATCAATCTTTGTGTACACACACTGCAGACCCGTTTGGTTATTTTTCAGTTTTAGCACTTAATGAGAGTACAATATACAGCATAAATAATGTATTAAAAGAAGAATTTTTTTCCTGTCCTCTGATCATTGTTCAAAATAATGACCATTTTAAAAGTTATTAATGCTTAGTAAAGGCAAAACACCCAAGCTGAAAACAGTGCATTATTAGAAAAGCTGTAAGAACACAGTAAGAAAAACATCTTGTTAAATATACCTTTATTTGAACCTTGACTGTCTTAAAAAATGTCAGCATTTTCTTATCAGTTTCAGAACTGATGTATGTAGTAATGAAATAGTGAAAATATTGCTTTCCACAGCTTCATTAAGAAAAATATGTAGTAGCCAGAGAGTTTGTTTCATTAGTCAATATGGCAGTTACATCAAGGTGACATTGTCAAAGAACTAATTTATATAATTTTGATGGCAAGCATTCTCTGAGACTGCTCTATTGCTTTCCAGTAAAACTCTACTAAAACTGTTTCCTTGAGGCTGATCAGTTGAGTAGCCATTTCTACCTTGTGTTCCTGTGCTCCAGTAAAAGCAAACCAATCATTAAGATAAAGCAATTATTTCATTCATTTAAAGGGTTTTTACTACAGTATCTGTATGTAGACTGAATTCAAATGGAGAGGTTGTAGTGAGACTATTCTATTTTCAAGCATGAGCACTATCATTATAGTTGTCAGAACTAACCTGTATTCTAGAAGACTGGTATTTAAACGTTTCAATTTAAAGGATACTTCTACTGACGAATATGAGATTTTTTTTGTTGTTGCTTTATAAGGGACTTATAAGTCTTTTAAGACTTTTCTCTTACTAAAAAAGACATTTTTGATCAGTAGTTTTTCCCTCAATGTGAATGCAAATATTGTAGCAGTTCATGTATCATGAAATATAAAACTTGTGATAGAAAAACAAATGGTTTGTGAATTTATGATGCAACTTACTTCTAAAACATATTTTTTGGACCTTGTACTGCAACAATTTACAGCGTAGAAAATCTGGAGCCTTTTCTCTGACTCCAATGAATTTGCCCTGGTATAAAACTAGTATATGAGATCAGAATCATAGAATCACAGAATCACAGAATAGTTAGGGTTGGAAAGGACCTTAAGATCATCAAGTTCCAACCCCCTGCCATGGGCAGGGATACCTCACTCTAAACCATATCATCCAAGGCCTCGTCCAACCTGGCCTTGAGCACTGCCAGGGATGGAGCATTCACAACCTCCCTGGGCAGCCCATTCCAGTGCCTCACCACCCTTACAGGAAAGAATTTCTTCCTTATATCCAATCTAAAATTCCCCTGTTTAAGTTTTAACCCATTACCCCTTGTCCTACCACTACAGTCCCTAATGAAGAGTCCATCCCAGCATCCCTATATGCCCCCTTCAGATACTGGAAGGCTGCTATGAGGTCTTCATACAGCCTTCTCTTCTCCAAGCTGAACAGTCCCAGCTTTCTCAGCCGATCTTCATATGGGAGGAGCTCCAGTCCCCTGATCATTCTCGTGGCCCTCCTCTGGATTTGTTCCAACAGATCCATGTCCTCTTTTTGTTGAGGACACCAGAACTGTACAAAATACTCCAAGTGAGGTCTCACGAGAGCAGAATAAACGGGCAGGATCACCTCCTTCGACCTGCTGGTCACGCTCCTTTTGATGCAGCCCAGGATACGGTTGGCTTTCTGGGCTGCAAGCGCACACTGAAGCTGGCTCATGTTCATTTTCTCATCAACCAGCACCCCCAGGCCCTTCTTCACAGGGCTGCTCTGAATCTCTTCTCTGCCCAACTTGTGGCTGTGTCTGGGATTGCTCCGACCCAGGACCTTGCACTTGGCATGGTTAAACTTCATGAGGTTGGCATCAGCCCACCTCACAAGCGTGTCAAGGTCCCTCTGGATGGCATTCCTTCCCTCCAGCGTATCAGCCGAACCACACAGCTTGGTGTCATCGGCAAACTTGCTGAGAGCGCACTCAATCCCACTGTCCATGTCACCAACAAAGATGTTGAATAAGACTGGTCCCAACACCGATCTGTGAGGGACACCACTCGTTACTGGTCTCCAGCTGAACATTGAGCCATTGACGACAACTCTTTGTGTGCACCCATCCAGCCAGTTCTTTATCCACCGAGTGGTCCATTCATCAAATTGATGTCTCTCCAAATTAGAGACAAGGTTGTTGTGTGGGACAGTGTCGAACGCTTTGCACAAGTCTAGGTAGATGACATCAACTGCTCTACCTCTGTCCATCAGTTCCATTGCCCCATCATAGAAGGCCACCAAATTGGTTAGGCATTATTTCCCTTTAGTGAAGCCATGCTGGCTGTCACCAAGCACCTTGTTGTTTATTTGTATTGTCTTTCAGTTCTGTTATTTTGGACTGAATATGGCTCATGCCTAGGCACAAGCTTCTCCCTGTTAATAAAAATTTTTCTAACATCTCAAATATAAAATATTCTTGTTAGCTTTGTGCTCAAGAAATAAAACTGGACTGACCACATACCATCTTCTAAGGAAAGGTTTCTTGTACCAAAGTGATAAGAGATTTAAAATTATATTGCGGAGTTTTGGGAATATTTGCAAATTGAGCTATGCTAACTTAACCTGACAGTACTGGAGTCTTTGTGGAATTTAGAGATTACGGCTTGGATCCACCTAAATCCAGTGATTTTTGGCACAACTTGTTGCTGTGGCTTCTTATAAATTCTCTTTTTGTACCTTTCAAAATTAGGACCATGTTATTACTAGCCATAAGAAAAGTTTTACACCCGTCTCTTCTTTCTTCCAGATTGCTGTCAAAATGAGTGAAACACCTTCAACTAGTTACTCGGTGAATCAGCCTAACTCCTCCGAGAGTGAACAGAGTTTAACCACGCGCCATTTCAATGTTACTGAACCTGTTGTGGCAAAACGGATCTGTTTCTATAAAAGTGGAGATCCTCAGTTTAATGGCATCAACATGGTAATTAACAGTCGGTCTTACAAAACATTTGATGCCTTGCTGGATAGTTTATCCAAACGGGTCCCATTACCTTTTGGAGTAAGAAATATTAGTACACCAAAAGGGAGACACAGCATCACCAATCTGGAGGATCTTGAAGATGGAAAATCTTATATTTGCTCCCATCAGAGGAAAATGAAGCCCATCAACTTGGAACAGGCTAGCAAAAAGCCACTTCCCTGGCAGATCAGCAGGCCTGTCAGTGCTCGCCGTCGAGCTGTGCAATTAGCAAGGGAAAATGAAGATGGATTTGGCCATCGAGAAAGTAAAATAACAACTCCCAAGAAGATGCTTGTTTTCAAAAATGGAGATGTAAGACTCAGGCGCACCATAGTTCTGGGAAAAAAAAATACACAAAACTTTGAGGCCTTTCTGGATTACATGAGTGAGTTAATGCAGTATCCAGTTGTGAAACTATACACCACTGATGGCAGAAAGGTGAGAATAAAGATGAGTATGTGCAGTAAGATTGCTTCTAGATTAGTTTTAATTATAAAGGTGATTTTATCAACTATAAGCTTGGGACACTGGCCTGGTGTAAGATCTGATGTGCTGAATTCCAGCTGTTTCTTTTCTATGCCTTTTCCCCTTCAGAAAAGCTGCTAGCCTGGAGAAATATTCTGAAATTTTGTGATTAGAGAGAAGCAAGTGAGGGCATTTTATTTTAAGCCATCTTGAAAAAACACTTTCCTTAATCAGACCTCTTTCAGGGATGCTCTCAATTCTATATTTTTACCCATTTGCAAAGAAACTTTTAATGTTTTAAAAATAAGTATTTGTCTATTAGCCAAATGTATTTTATCATTGCACAAATGCAGAGTGGTTTGCCATTAGTGACTTGGAACTATGACATCTATTGTCTAGATTTCAAACTATGGACCAAGCTCTGTACCTCTAAACCTAGATGACACAAAACTAATAATCCCGATTTTCAGCTCACATGCAGTTTTATATAATTTTCTCTTACTTTGTGTTTTATCTGTGTGTTGTTTAATCACAGAAAAACACCTGTGATTGTACCTAACAGATATCTAGAAAGGGAATTCTATGCAGAGCTCCAAGAGTTCAAGGAAAATTTGGGGTTTATCCACTGCTTGGTGAAATTCTGCATTAAGTTAGGAAAATGTCCATATCACCTGTAAGTCAGTAAAATGAAGTTTGCAAGCCTTATCTTGCAATATATTTTAAACACAAAAGTTCAGAACTGAGACAAGGCTCTGAGCACCTTGATCCAGTCAGACCTGCTTTAAGCAGAGGGTTAGACTACATGACCTTTTCCAGTGTATATTGTTCTGTGACTGTGTCCCATTCCTCTGTGGCTGTACAGATCCAGTACTTGTGATGTATTCTGAATTGCCCCATTCCTCCTCCAAATACATGTTCATATGTATACCTACCTCCAAATGCATATTCTTATTTTGTGGCTATGAGAGTCACTGTGAAATGATTAAACCAAATTACATACGCAAATATCTAAATTATAAGAAAATTTTCATGTGCATCCAACTTACTTCTTGAAGTCTTTTTCTAATCTATTGATATAACTAGATATACCCTCACAGAGGTATGAATTGCCTTATAGAAATTGAAAAATTAATTCTGTGCTGTAATACATATTTAATAGCCAGCTGCAAACTAATGTAGAGTTTAAGAAGTGAAGATATTAAAGTATGAAAAGGATAAATCTCGTACATTATTTTAGTGGTTACTAAGGCAGATAATTTAATGATACTTTTCTTTTTTTTCCCAGGTTCCTAATCTCCAGGCCCTAATACTGTGCTCTGGAGCTGTAGTTGCAGCGGGGAGAGAGCCTTTTAAACCAAGCAATTACGATTCTCTTGGGTATTCACGGCCTGCTAAATTGCTTGGAATTGCAAATCGTGTGTACCCAAAAGCAAATGCCAAGTCAGAGAGTGAAAATAGTAAGTTTTTTGAATTAATTTGTATTTTATTAATTGGTTTATTTCTCTCAGCATAAGACATAAACCATGACAATCTTACTAGGATCTACGCTATTCCAAAAGGCCATCTGCTTCGACTCCTTTATAAGCGTAAGAAAGATCAAGCGTTATTGTTCTTTTTAAAGTGTAAGTTTCTAAGTACTCAGCTAGTATGCATATTTTCTTTCAAACAGACTTATTTAGAACATGGGTGCAAATCTGTAAGTATATTTCATATTAATGCATTTGATTGTCATTGCTGTCAAATTTTTGGTGTCATGGTTAATAATGGCAATGGTAAAGAAAAAGCTCAGGCCACTTCAGGGTTTTAACTAACTGAATTTATTGAGCAAAATTTTTGTGCGGTTTTCAGAACTTACCTTAACAAGTAGAATTTTGACTTGTCATTGTCAGAACTTTCACTTTCCCATGTCCCATGCTCCACATAAGCAGGTAAAATATTATAACACCCTTTCACTCACAAATTCATCCTGGTTTTGGAGCTGGTTTTGTCTAAACAGAATGTCAGCCTTTCTTTGTCTAAACAGAATGTCAGCGATATATGTTTTTTGGATAAGTTTGGGAAAAGATACACAAATATGTGCTTTCCTTTAGTTTACTGATAGAGTTGTGTTACTGAGAAGGTCAGTAAGAATGTGAAGTGCCCAGGGTGATCAATGACATGAGGAGCTGTTGGAGAGAAGCAAGGCTAGCTGAATAGCCTGAGGCTGAGAGAAACAAAGTGCTGCAGTACCAGAGCTTTAGGTCATGGGGGAATACTGAGCATTAGGGCAGAGATACTGTCTAGGGGGAACCTTGTTTAATACAGAGGTACTCAGTACTCTTGATAGAGCTGCATGCTGTACTAGAGTGTCCAGAAAATGTTGTAATCGTTTCCGTACTGAGGCTTTCAACAGCAAACTTGACTGTGTCCCAGAGCATGTTGATGTATGAGAGACTTGACTTCCACTTACTTGAATGAGTTGCTTTCACATCCCTTGCAGTTTATTATGTCCCCACCAAACTCGTCATTTTAGTTTTTCTCAACCTTCATGTTCTTTGACTTGCACAGAATTTGAGAAAGTTCTACAGAAACAAAAAAGTCCTACCCAAATTTTGCTTTGAGACAGAGATTGAGCCTTGCAATGGTAGAAGTTGTGAATAGCTCAGAATTTGATAAACTCCCTCTTCCAATCCTTAGTTAAAGGCAATTACAGAAAGAGGGAGAAAAAAAACCCAACACCACCACCATCTTTTTGTCTTTAACCTGAGACGTTCAGAAGTATCCTGTGTAGGAGACATCACTGATGAAGCAAGAGCCTGAAAAATCAAACTGCAGGCACTTTGTTCTGATTCTATTTCTTGAGACAGAGAAAGTGAGATTTTTACTTTGAGAAGCATAAGGTCTTGTCTGTGTTAGAGGAGTTAGTACAAACTTTTATTTCTGATTCAGTTCATGGTAAAACATATGCCTGGGAAACTTGCAAGGCACTCTGCCTGAAATTATAGACTTGTAGTTATAATGGTAATATGCTGTGAAAGTTTTGATATAAGACTATTTGTGACTCACTTGAGATAGAAAGGAAAAAGCTTAAATTCAAGCAACGTAGATAAGTTAATATTGCATGTGTTAAAGATAAGTGAAACCTGTCTATTAGATGGTGGTTTCTATACATGTAGGTACCAGTAGCAGCTCCGGATGTCTTTGTGTGGATGTACCTGCACTGTTTCCCTCTCACATGCAGAACTTTCTGGAAGATAGCAAAACCTTACTTTTATCTCATGTTCTTTTATCTCATCCCTTCAGTGATAACTGCTAGAGAGAAATAGATTTTTTTAAAAAGCCAAGTTATTACAAACATATTTTATTAAAATATTAAGTTATTAAAACCTATTTTTGGAGTATTTAATATGTGTGCAAACACATATCGCGCCATGCTCACTATTTGTTGAAGTCTGAAAGTATTTTTGTTGGTATTGCTGAGTTTTGTTTCATTAACTGCAGTACTGTAGCATAAAATATATCTCAGAATGTCATGATTTAAATTTGGATTTTATAAGAACTTCGAGAGCTTCAATGTCTACTTCTCTATAGAGGGGCAGTCCAGGGGATTGGATCTGAACCTTTTAATCATGTGTCAATGACACTACTCACAGTAATTACTCATATGCTGTAGATAGCTGGATTGAGCCCAGGGAGATACATGTTCACCTTGACTGACACATTTTAGCACTAACTGTAAGAATTAAGGCAAAATTATTTCTTCACTAAGACATGAAGAAGACATGAAGTTGGCAGCTTGAAGCCCAGACAAGCGAGGGCTTGTGAATCCCTTGAATGGCTCAAGACAACCCCTTAGCTCCTAATTATGTATAAAATGAGAGTATTTGGTACTTTTTTAGATGTTGGAGCTTCAAATAAGACTATAGTTCTAGCATTAGAAAGAACCTATTGTACCTATTTTGACTAATTTTTCTCCTTTCTTCTTTTCTCTTCCTTTGCTGCCTATCTGCTGTCTCACCATCTGGATCCTTATGCATGATATTTGTCTGTTCTTATCTCCATCTACTTGAATGAATTCGGGTTCTTTCAATGTAATTATTGCTAGTGAGAGCTGAAATGAGCTCTGGCTCAAGATCTCAGGTATTCTCAGTTTCTTCTGATAAAGGGTCCAGCAATGATGATAACTTGAATGAGAACAACTCAGATTCTTCCTGTATTCCTGCCAGTCATAATGGCATAGGAGGAAATCAGTCAGTTACTGGTGAAGACTTATCATCTGTGGCACAGTATGAAGATGACATTGAGAAATCTGTTCACCTTAATCAAGATGGAAGTATCACAGTGGAAATGAAAGTTCGATTTAAAATTAAAGAGGAAGAAACCATTAAATGGACAACCACTGTTAGTCGTGCTGATAAAAATACCACCACTTGCAATTCTGCAATGCATGCAGAAGACTCCTTATCCAGTGTAAATGTATCAGAACATATAAAACCAAAAGATGATCTGTTTTTGAAGAGCTACAATAAAGAAGAAGGAAACTCACTACAGCAGTTCAATGCAGAAGTGTCAGACAGAGAATCAGAGTCTGATTTAAAAACTGCTGGTTGTAACACCTGTATGAAGAGCAGTTCTGCAGATCTAGATGCAGGCAATGTACCTGAGGATAACATCAGGCCTCACTTTTATAGGCCTCCTACCCCTGGGCCAAGGCGTGTTAGACAAAAGAAAGCAGTAGTTGAAAGTGTCACATTGGTTTCTGAGAAAGAGGTTCAGGAGAAGACAGTAGGACAGTTTTCCTACAGTGAGGAAATAAAGAATGGAGAAAATAAATCTGAGTATTGCATGGTAGCTCATTCAAGCAGAAAAAAATCAAGTGTCAGTAATCCAAATTTTAGTGAGATCAGTGACAATGGTTTATTTAAGCTTTCTTCAGAGAATATAAAAGAAGAAAAGTTTTTTAAAGTAATCCACAAAAATAATGATTTAATAGAAACCACGAAGAGGAATACATTAGAAGTGCCTGATGAGGATGAATCAGCACAGAATATATTAGAGAAATCAGTTATGGATCAAGGTACATATAATAGTTTGGTATCAACCTGCAAAACTAACATCAGTTATTTCATACCATCATCAGAAATTTACCAGGCAGCCAGGCCAGCCTCAGCAGACCACATCCATAAGTCATGTGATATTAAACAAATTAAAAGATCACCGAGTTCTTTCACTCGCTATTCAGAATTAAGTCAGTCAGTAGAAGAAACACAATGTAAAACATCAGATTTATTACCTGTTTCTCAAGATGCAGTGTGTTCAGCCTCTGCTGGACATAGCCAGATGAAGATGATGGTACCTCCATGTAGTAAAGGTCTTACTGACAAAATAAATCCAACACCTGGGTTATTTCCTACTGTAACTGAAAGTGAGAATCAAACTAGCATCAGGACTGAATCTGTGACAGCAACACGTCTCATTGATGACAGCCAATCTATATCTTCCCTCACCAGAAAGAAGAAGAAGAAGAAGAGAAAATCGCCTAACCTCCTAGAACAAAGTACATATGAAGATCAAAAAGACAAAGGAATTTCAGGGATAATTAAAAGTGAGGGAATGCGTATCACAAGCAAACCCCCGCAGGATTCCACAGCAGAGGCTATGGATAATTATTCTGAAATGCCTCAGAAAAAACGAATGGAATTTTTTGTAAAAAACAATGATGGTTCTGTCAATTCAGACAAAAATGTATGTCCTGAAGATGAGTTCTACCACCAGGATTTAGTGGAACAAAATGGATTATCATCCAATAAAAACCCAAGAAGTAATGACAAGTTGTTCGACTCAAAATTGAAGTCAGGCAAAAAAAATAGTATAGTTTCATCTTCAAAGAGTGAAGATGGCCTAGTGACAGTTGATTCAAACAATGAGTCTGAACACAGTCAGGATACACAGAGTAGTGAGAAAGAAGTCACACGTCTCACAAACAGTTCTTTTGAACAGACATGTAACACATCTGTGATTTCAAAACCATTGTCAGAAGTGCCAGAGAATCTTAATGTTGAAAAAGAAAAGGAGAAGAATGTTTTGGAAAATTTCTCATCAAAGAAGGAGAAGAAGCAAAAGGGGATGAAGAAAAGTCTAAGTAAAGGGGCAAATAAGTTAAATATGTCAGAGAGTGCCATTGCACAAGAGGCTCTGAAACAAGAGGATTTTCAAGAGGAGGGTGTTGAGCATTCATTTGAAAACAATGTCCAAACTTGGCTGAAAAGCTTTTTACCGAATTCTGTCTTACCCCCTATACATAAAAAAGAAGGGAATGTAGAGAACAGCAATGCCTGTAATTTTCCTGTTGACGCTTCTATAGATAAAGAAACAAGATCTATCACAAATAAAGGACATGTGACTGGAAAAAACCATCTGCTTGAACATAATCTAACAAAAAGAACATTAAAGCCTATTTGTGATTTGAGAGCTTCAGAAGAATCAGGCAAAGATTCAGATGCAAAACAAACTGACCCCTTGATTCATGCCAATACAACTATAATAGAAACAGCCAAGTATTCACTAAAGTCAGAATTTTGTTGTGATGGTAAGCTACACTTGCTTCATGAAACATCTGACAATGATAAAAAGATGTCAGAAGCTGATATGCAAGATACCAACCTATGTAGAAGAAAAAAGTCTGAAGTTGCCGTTCAAGTTGATTGTGCAGTTGTCAATGAGAAAATGGGAATTGATGTTCAGAATAATTGCATGTCTATCATGTTGCTGCATGAACTACAATCAGCTTTGCTTGGTCTCCAGAAAGAACATAATGGATGTGTAGGAAAAGCTTGCACCCTTTCAGATCTTTCTTCTTTAGCTTTTAGTTCTTCTTCTAATGTCCTCCTAACTTGGCTACTTGTACTGAATCTGAGAGAGAATTTGATTGGGACAATCAGAGATGATACACAAAAAACTACCTGTAGCTGTTCTGAAATACTTACACAGTTACAGTTTCTGAAACAAACTGCAGTCATAGAAAAAGTTGATGAAATGAAGGCTGCCTTCTCACATTTTCAACAATCAACAGAAAATAACTTATTAACCTTTGGGAGGGAACTCAAAAAGCAGGACTCCTCACATTGCCATGAGAATATGTCCATGTCTGAAATTCATAATGGTTTATGTCTGCATGAAAATGAAAAGCCAGTTGAGTCTTGTGTTCCAAAAGACAGTGAAAATTCTGAAGAAGCTTTAAAATTAGAAACCTGTTTTGATATGCAGAAAGATCTTTGTAATGAAGCAGAGACTTTAGACTTGAGTGCTCTCCAAACACAGCTAGATAGTCAATGTGCCAATATTAATTCAAGTACCTGTAGCCTTGCATCAGCTATAAAGCCACATGAAAGAAAGGAAGAAATGCCTGATAGCCTATATAAAAAATCTCAAGATGAAAATACTAATACATCATTCACTAATGAAGAGTCAGAAATTTCAATAGAGCCTAACTCAACAGTTTATAGCATAACTTCTAATGATAAACATCATATTTTAGATCAGGATACTTCTGAGTTAGAATGTGAAAAAGATATACATGTTACTACTGATAAAAGTGAAAATGAGAAAGCTGATCCCAAGTCTGTGGGTAATGACAAAACCCCAAATAACCAATTTAAACTTGCCACTGAAACCTCTGTAGAATATAACAATGAGGATTATTCTGTACAGGAAGACAAAGAAGATGCAGAAACTGGTGAGGAAAACTCTGAGAGGTTATCTACAGTGTCTCCATTATCGTTTTGTTATGAATCAAAGCAAATTACAGAATGTGATATGAGCGAAGGAGAACAGAAATTGCAAGTAGAAGAATCAGATAATAAAATGTGTTTAGACTCTTCTCAAGTGAAAAAATGCTTAAAAAGTCCTGCTACTTCAGACTGGTCAGATTACAGACCAGATACTGAAGAAAGTGATTATAACTTCAGAGCATCCAGTGATCTGACCAATGAAAGTGGGGAGGAAGCAATGCTTGAAAAACATTATAACACTGGCTATGTAAAAAGAACTATTGAGCGACTTTATGGCAACACAGAAGCTTCATTTAAACCTGACTTTCAGAAAGGATTTCCTTATATGTTGAAAGTATTTCAAAAGGATACTGAAGAATTCCACTCTGCAGTTGTGGAAAAAACCATTTATTTTTCTCAAGAGCCAACGTCTTGTTCTGGTGAGAAATTGTCACATTCTTCACTACTATCAGAAGAATTTGTAGTAAACATAAACAAAGATGACACTATAACGAGACAAGAAAATACTTCTTTATCAACACCACAACCTACTCTTAACAGAGAAGAGACAAGTTATACTGTTGACCATTCAGGGGAATCTCCAAAGCAACATTGTCAACCTAGTGCACCAGATAATGAAGATGAAGGAATATTGATAGATAAAGGCAAATGGCTTCTCAAAGAAAATCATTTGATAAGAAGATCACCACCTGAACGAGTTGGAATGTATGGTAATTTGGATACAACTTCAACAGACACAGTCCTTGATACTAACAGTGATGACTTTCCCTACTCGCACTTCGGCAATCTGAATCAATACCCAGACCTCAGCGAAAACTCTTCTTCAGAACTTGAAGACATGATTAAACCCTCTGAAAATTTTTGCAACTATTTCAATATGCCTCATAATAGTGATTCAGACCCCTTTCAGGATGACTTAAATGCAAAAAGCAAACCTAGCTTCAATGGTAAGATCACTTCCCTTCCTGCAGCAAAGAAAGAAAAGAACAAGCCATCTTTTGCACATTGTTCCACACAGGCTGATACCAATTTTTCACCTTTTTCATCTGTAGAATTTAGATTGCCTGACAACAAGGTACGTCCATTGGAACAGCCTTTAAGTGACAAACCCATAGAGTCCCAGCCAACTGATGCTAATAATGCTAACAGAAGTGCTCCTCAGGAAGAAGATTCTCTGGATAAACTCCATGCTATATGTGGCCAGCATTGTCCAATACTGATGGTGACCATAACACCAATTAATGAGGAACAGAGAGGGTATGCCTACCAAAAAGCATCTGATATTGAGAACCACCTGAATCCATGTTTGTTGGCCAAAAAATGTGAACATTTACAATGGTCAGGCAAAGATTTAATAACAGATGAAAATAATCATGTGATTCTGAAGAATAACTGTATCAATAAGATTGCCAATAATATTTTTGGTAGGTTTTATGCAAATAACACCCTAGATTTTATTAGTAACTTTGGAATATTTGTATCATCAACTCTGAAAGACACAAGCTGTTTAGAGAAGTTACATATTACAGGGGACGCGAATGAAAAACCCATGGAAGTCATCAAACGTCAAAGTAATGTATCCAGACACATACCCAGTGATCTTGTGATAGGCACAAATAGTGAGCTACCCAATGGAAAGCAAAAAACATGCCAAACTCTAAGAATAAGCCAGACTGATATTGTTGGAGAAAAATATTCTCCCAGGTTGGCAGACCCAGCAGAAACCTGTCATTCTGAAACATCTCTGAAGTGTAACACTTCTTTAAATAACATTGAACATAATGTGTATGAGAATCTGAAAAGTGAAAACGCCTTTCCTCCAGAAGAAGAAGAAGTAGAAGAAGAAGAAGAGAAAGAAGTTTGCTTTCGTACAATGGCCAATGGAAACAGTAAACATGAGAAAGACTTATAAGAGAGATCTTGGAATTTCTACAATATTAGATTAGTGAAAACATCTTCAGGAAAATAAATAAAAATCACAAAATAAACTGCTGAACAACGCACCTAGGAAAAATCTTAATGTGAATCCAGCCCAAACCTAGATAAATATAAATCACAAGTGTATATCAATGCTGAAATACATACGATTACTTACAGTTTTATGGGAACCAACATAGGAGGAAAATTGTTCTAAGACAGCAATTTCTGGGTTAAAAACATTTTTCTCTGACATGTTATCTGTTTAGAGATATTCAGATATATACCAAGGTCTAATTTGTAGAGAAACAGCTACTGCTTGTTAGAACAGAGAACTGAAATTTGAAATGCCCATCTGAGTTTTAAGATAAGATTCCTGTATTTTGTGACATTTAAGAAAGGGTTTAAGAATTGCCTTTCACTAGAGATGCTTTTTCCAGAACAAAATTAAATGATATGCTTAATTTGAAATGAAAAGAAGGAAATACTATTCAAATGCTGTAATACAAAGAGAAGTAGGAAACAAAAGTCATGTTAATTTTATATAGGTAAACATTATAAAATTGTTATTTCAGTTTTTAAAGGCCAACTTCGAAATATTTATGTGCGTAAAGAGATCTTTCAGTCTGCATATAGGATCATCCAGACCTCAAATGAAGTTTGTGTCTTTTACTGAGCAGATACTAAAAAAGGAGTGTATTCATTGCCACTGGGATTCCACAGGAACTGAGAAAACAGACTCTGTATCAGTGGACTTCATGACTACCCTTACCATAATCCCTTCTGAGGCAGTACAGCTTACTCTCAAATTTTTCTATATACACTGAGTTTTAGTGATGTGTTTTTCTTTAATCTCTGTACTTTTAAGGTGATCCATATCTTTTGTGTTGTTATTGTTGTAAATACATCGTACTGTAAGAATCCAAGGCATGTGTAATATGTTTCAGGCTCTTTCAATCTGTTACTAGAATTAGTTTGGATACTGTTAACAGCATTTTTTAATATTATACGTGTGTATAGTAAGCACTTACATATGGTTTACAATTTTCACTAAACGATTTTAAATATAAAGTTGGAAATATTTAATGTATGTTGTTATTAGACAGAGTATTTCAGTTTGTTGGTTGGATTTTAATCCCTAACACTGCCTAGTACCTAGCGTCAATGTCACTGAAGTCAGAGAAACACCTGAAGAAGGAAAAGGCTATTTTTTTTCAGTTAGAGAATGGAACTTTGGCCATTCCGTAATCTTGGAGGCTGTGTTTGGACCAACTGGCGTGTACATGCTGCTATAAGCCCTGGAACATGATCCTTTGCTTATCCAGACTGGGACCTAATTAAAGGATGACACAAATCTCTTTTGGCCCAGATGCTTTGACTGTCTCCTTGTGAGACAGAAGGCACGTGGAAGGGAAGTAGAGGTTAGATCTGGAGCAAAAGGGGTTTTGCAGTACAGATAGGAAACCTAGAAGCACTTTTCAGTACTTTTTAGGGTCCAGTGGCAGATATATTTTCCCATAAATCTTATATTTCTGTTGTTTGAAGTAGTATACTCTATGTAATAAACTGTCATTACAACCCTAAAGCAACATATATCATTGAATATATTTCACACCAAATATTTGTGTGTTATTCCTTGTGCTGGCCTTGTTTCTGATGTTCTTTCCTCCATCTTTATGTTTTTTTCGGTATCCTCCTGTGTATGTTTTGGAGCAGCTCCAGATGAAGAGTCTCAATGTGGTTTTTTTATGTTTTTACATGTCAACACAAAAATAAAACCTATGTTTGGAAAATTAAGCTTAAAATTACTAGAATCCAACTAAATGCCATATAGCATTTTGAGTACCAGGCTTCTATGCTGTAAATAGTATCTAAATGTTAGGTAGGCAAATTAACAGCTATATATATGTCTCCATCACTTGCAGTCTTTCTGTCAGATTCACAGCATCCTGTGCTGCATTCACAGCACTTGAACTTTTTCAGATTAAGGTTCAAAAACTTCAGGAACCTTTAATCGGTTCTTACAGAGTTACAGGGAAAACTAAGTGCTCAAAAGATGAGAAGTGAAGTACTGCCTGACATTATAATTAGCAGAGACCACAGCAAGTGGCAAAATGTTTGTTATATTAACTGCAAGACATGCTTCTGATTTCAGTACTTGAACTGAAAGAGAAGGAATAAAATGGTCAGAACAGGAGAGGACAAAAGTTGACAGTGAAATGTACATAGCCTTTACAGATTCATTATTGGTTCAGTGAAGATATAGACTATTAAGTGGTTGAGATATGCAGATAAAATAAAATTGCTTCCATTAGGTAAGACTGGAGAAGGCTGAAGAGAGAACCTCACAATGCTGGTGACTAGAGCAACGTAGTGATTGACAGGGAGAAAAACATCATGAGGAGTAATATGAGCTACCTTACATAGATAGCTTAACTCTGCAAATTAACTACAAAAACCATAGAGTCTTTCTGAATAAGTCAGAATAAACTGACTTATTCAGTCACAAGGATAGGTAACAGGAAGGGATTCTATAGGTACATTGCAAATAAAAGACAAACTAGTGACAGTGTGGGCCCTCTTCAGAATTTATCGGGAGAACTGGCTACCCTGGGTTTGGAGAAGGCTGAGGTTCTTAATGACTTCTTTGCCTCAGTCTTCACTAGCAAATGCTCTGACCACACCACCCAAGTCTTGGAAGGCGAATGCAGGGACAATGAGAAGGAAGACTATAGACACACTGTAGGAGAGGATCTGGTTGGAGACCATCTTAAGAACCTGAATGTACACAGGTCCATGGGACCTGATGAAATCCATTCGTGGGTCCCAAAGGAGCTAACACATTAAGTTGCTAAACCACTGTTCACATATTTGAAAAATCATGGCAGTCAGGTGAAGTTCCCGATGACTAGAAAAAGGGAAATATAACCCCCATTTTCAAGAAAGGGAAAACAGATGACCCGGAGAAGTACAGACAAGTCAGTCTCACCTCTGTGCCTGGCAAAATCTTTGAGCAGATTCTCCTGGAAGGCATGCTAAGGCACATGAAAAACAACAAGGTGCTTAGTGACAGCCAGCATGGCTTCACTAAAGGGAAATCCTGCCTGACCAATTTGGTGGCCTCCTGTGATGGGGCTATGGAACTGATGGACAGGGGTAGAGCAGTTGATGTCATCTACCTGGATTTGTGTAAAGTGTTCAACACTGTCCCACACAACATCCTTGTCTCTAATTTGGAGAGACATGAATTTGATAGGTGGACCACTCGGTGGATAAAGAACTGGCTGGATGGGCGCACACAAAGAGTTGTGGCCAATGGCTCAGTGTTCATCTGGAGACCTGTAACAAGTGGTGTCCCTCACAGATCGGTATTGGGACCGGCCTTGTTCAACATCTTTGTCAGTGACATGGACAGTGGGATTGAGTGCGCTCTCAGCAAGTTTGCCGATGACACTAAGCTGTGTGGTTCGGTTGATACACTGGAGGGAAGGAATGCCATCCAGAGGGACCTTTGACACACTTGTGAGGTGGTCTGGTGCCAACCTCATGAAGTTTAGCCATGCCAAGTGCAAGGTCCTACACCTGGGTTGAAGCAATCCCAGGCACAGCTACAGGTTGGGCAGAGAAGATATTCAGAGCAGCCCTGTGAAGAAGGACTTTGGGGTTTTGGTAGATGGAAGCATGAACATGAGCCGGCTTCAGTGTGTGCTTGCAGCCCAGAAAGCCAACCGTATCCTGGGCTGCACCAAAAGGAGTGTGACCAGCAGGTCAAAAGAGGTGATCCTGCCCCTTTATTCTGCTCTCGTGAGACCTCACTTGGAGTATTGTGTGCAGTTCTGGTGTCCTCAACATAAAAAGGACATGGATCTGTTGGAACAAGTCCAGAGGAGGGCCACGAGAATGATCAGGGGACTGGAGCACCTCCCATATGAAGATCGGCTGAGAAAGTTGGGGCTGTTCAGCCTGGAAAAGTGAAGGCTGCGTGGAGACCTCATAGCAGCCTTCTAGTATCTGAAGTGGGCCTATAGGGATGCTGGGGAGGGACTCTTCATTAGGGACTGTAGTGATAGGACAAGAGGTAATGGGTTCAAACTTAAAAAGGAGAATTTTAAGTTGGATAGAAGGAAGAAGTTCTTTACTGTTAGGGTGGTGAGGCACTGGAATGGGTTGCCCAGGAAGTTGTGAATGCTCCATCCCTGGTGATATTCAAGGCCAGGTTGGACAGAGCCTTGAGTGTGAGGTGTTCCTGCCCATGGCAGGGGGGTTGGAACTAGATGATCTTAAGGGCCTTTCCAACCCTAACTATTCTATGATTCTATGTGTAAAGAACAGGATAAAAAACAATTCAACAGACATTCAAGGGCATTATATAGATTATACCAGTCTTCTAGATTCAATTCAATTTTTGTCTTGCCACTATTAAAAAATAAATAAATAAAAAAGACCAGCAGAGCACAGATCACAGTCCCAGGAAGTTTCAGTTTGTCTAGTTTATCCCCCCACTATCTATCAATAAAATCAGTCTCTCAACTTTTTCTCCTACGTAAACAGTTCTCCATTTCCTCTAATCATAGTGGTTGTCCTCATCATGCCCTTTCCTAATTTCAATATTTATTTATTTTTTATTTATAGTTAATAGAACTTCATGCAGTATTTGAAAGATTGGACTTCTTGGTTTCACTAGTCCTCAAATACGAGGTGTAACAGGTTAAAACTCAAACAGGGGAAGTTTAGATTGGATATAAGGAAGAAGTTCTTTACTGTAAGGGTGGTGAGGCACTGGAATGGGTTGCCCAAGGAAGTTGTGAAGGCTCCATCCCTGGCAGTGTTCAAGGACAGGTTGGGCAGAGCCTTGGGTGGCACGGTTTAGTGTGAGGTGTCCCTGCCCATGGCAGGGGGGTTGGAGCTTGATGATCTTAAGGTCCTTTCCAACCCTAACTATTCTACGATTCTAAATAATATTCTGCTGCAGAATCGTTCTGTGTATCAGATCAAAATCCACTGATTCCTTTAAGAAAATACCTATGGCTAGCACTGAAAATATTGAGTAGCACCTGAGACAAAAGTGGTTTTGCTGAACCTCACAATAGAACTGCAGGATAGCTTATTGCCTGGGGTTTAGGACATACAGATCCCTTTTAAGTGAGGCACTGGAATAGGTTGCCCAGGGAGGTTGTGAATGCTCCA